TCCTTGAAGGTTCTGACGTGCAACACTCGATGGAAAGGACGGGCCTGGACAATGCTTGAGTCTCTTCTAACTTGACAGATATTTGCTGTAGTTATTAAAATGAGGCTTGTGTTAGACTGCATTCCTGTTATCAGTCCTCAGTGACAGGTCTCAGTGGGGCAGTTTGGCTCCCCAGGGGCATCCTGAAAGTTTAAAAAATTTTGGTTGTTTCAATAAAGGGGGTAGTTCCTTTGGCGTTGGTAGTTCCATTCGGTGGTGGTGATGGATGCTAGATGCCTCATAATGCAGACATTGCAAAGCCAGCTCCTCCCAATGAAGAATTGTTCTGGGGGACGGTATAGCTCAGTGGAAGAGCATGTGCTTAGCATGCACAAGGTCCTGGGTTCAATCCCCAGTACCTCCATTAAAAAAAAGTAAATAAATGAACCTAATTATCTCCCCCCAAAAACCAAACCAAACCAAAACAGAGAAGCACAGGGAAAAAAAAAGAACTGTCCTGAGTCCTATGTATCTTTTTAACATCATGCCAGAACAATCACGCAGGTGAAAAGCCAGTTTCATAGTCACATGAGCCAAGAAATTGTATAGAAGTTGTCCTTCATTTTGTCTGGAACTATCGACTGTTAATCCATCATTTTGGAAAAGCACATCACCCATGGCAACACTGCTTACATAGTGATAGAGTCACCAAGACAATACCTCTATGCTGGTCTGCCTTTCCCCTTCACAATGATTGTATGTAGTTATACAAAGATCCTCATTTAGCCCTTATTTCAGAATGGCAAATATAAAGGAAAAAGTGACAGCAATATTCAATTAAATATTGTCTTCCGTTAAAGGTATACTTATCCATTGTAAGTTCATGCTCTGCTAACTTCCTGTATGATTTTATTATGATGGCTTTCCCTTTTAAAGTTAGGACACTACATTGCTCTGTAAAAGAACTATATGTGTGGGGAGGTACACCCCCTGTTTATAACATATATATATTTTATCTTTTTCTTTTTTAATTTTTACTTATTTTTTTATTGAACTGTAGTCAATTACCATGTGTCAATTTCTGGTGTACAGCTCAATATCCCAGTCATGCATATACATACATATATTTGTTTTCATATTTTTTCATTAAAGGTTATTACAAGATATTGAACATAGTTCCCTGTGCTATACAGAAGAAACTTTTTAAAATCTATTTTTATGTATAGTGGCTAACATTTGTAAATCTCAAACTCCCAAATTTGTCCCTTCTCACCCCCTTTCCCTGGTAACCATAAGATTGTTTACTATATGAGTCTGTTTCTGTTTTGTAGATAAGTTCATTAGTGTCTCCTTTTCTCTTTTGTTAAATTCCACATATAAGTGATATCATATGGTTAACATATTTTTTTTTATACCTCCCATAAATAGGGGTTGTTGGACCTGGTTGGTTTGGGACTTACTGATATACCAACAACAAAATCTGCAGGAAGGCAGTAGATCTGTAGCTCTTGGACAAGCTTTCAGAAGGCTTAGAGTGCACTTGATGGGACAAGGGGCATGTGAAAAGCCTAATCAGCTGTCAGGATCATGTCCTGATGGGGACTGAAGCCAGACCTAGAACAACAAGGTGAGAGTGCTGGGCTTGGCTTAGCCAATCACAGAGCCCAGATTGGAATCTTATCTGAACTCACTGTAGATCTGGTGGAGGAGGTTAGATTAATAGTTTTTTTTTTTAAGTTAAAATTAGGTTAGACTAATAGTTCTTGAGTGCCTGCTGTGGGTCAAGCCCTATGTTGGGGGCATGTACCCACCCCACCACAGTTTGAGGGTAGATGCTATTAACTTTTGCTTTACAACCAAGGAAGCCCAGGCTCAGTTAAACCCACTTGGGTGAGGCACACAATGATCTCTGGGTAGAGGCTGGTCCACCTTCAAAGCTCTTCTGTCGTCACAGACCCAGATGGCTTCCTTCTGCCCAAGGAAGTTTGTATTTATTTGGTTTTTGATAAGCAGTCACTTTCTGGTTTTGATGCTTTGTTAGGAGTGGTTTTGCAACCTGGATAGCCACAGGGGGCTTCCTCAGGAAAGGGGGGCTTCCTTGGGAAATAACTTGTTTCTCAGGGTCAGTCCTGGACATTCTGACTTTTGGCTGAATTGGCACCTGGGACATGTGGCTCAGTGACCCACTGCGCCTTGCTGTTCACCCCAGTGTGGCAGCCTCTGGGCTCATGCTCCCTGCCTCAGCTGCTCCCAGGACTGGCTGGCTCTTAGCCACCCCCACCCCTCCACCCCGTGGAAAGTTCTGTAATCCTCCCAGCCTGCTTCTGTTGGCTGGTTTCCTGCCCCTCCTCGGGCAGGGCATTTTAGGCTCCATGAGTTGATGTCCTGCAGGGGGCTTTCCTGTGGCCATTCTTTTCCAAGAGTGGTTCAGAAACTGCAATCCCCCTAAGATCTGTCCACAGCCCTGTCCTGAGCTGGGCTTCCACAGGAGGTCCCCAGTTGGGTGGGAAGTGTCCAGGACAGGAATGGAGGCATGATAGCATGTTTCTGCTTTTCAGAGTGGGGAGTGTTTGCTTGAGTCTAGGGGGAGGGATGTCACTAAATATGGCTAGCTCTTGAATTCTTTCCTGCTTGAAGCCAAGGACCCTCATTTGGCAGGGTGCTTCCAAGGACTCCCCCAAGACTTGGGACATGGCCATCCTCTCGTGCCCCGTTTTCCTGCAACAGAGGGGCCTGAAGTCTCACAGACACACATGCACCCCCTCCCACCCCAACACACATCCACATACAAGGCCCCTGGGCTCTGCCAGGAAATGCCAGGAGTCATGTTTCTCCCCAGGCCTTGGTTTCTTCATGCATGTATTATGGGGTCAAGCTGCAAATAGTTAAAGGCCCCTCGGGCACTAGCATTCTTTAGTTTTAATTAATTAAATGTGTTTTAGGTCCTTCCTACAAAATCTGAAGCCTTCCTTCCCATATGAACTCCATCTCATTCACCTGTGTGTCTTTGGGATGATCATTTACGTTCTCTGGGCCTTAATGTCCTTGTTTACAAGTTGGGAGATGATGAGAATCACCTGATCTGAGCACGTTAGCCCATAAATAGGGCTTTAGATGTAAAGGTGCCTAGAATATTTCTTGGCAAAGTATCTTAGCTCAGGCTGCTATAACAGAATACCATACACTGAGTAGCTTAAAGAATAGACATTCACTTACCACAGTTCTGCAGGCTGCGAAGTCCAAGATCAAGGTCCTGGTGGATTTGGGTTTTGGTGAGGGTCCTCTTCTTGGCTTGCACATGGCTGCCATTTCACTGTGTGCTTGCATGACCTCTTTGTGCATGGGGAGAGGGGGACGGGGGGAGAGAGGGGTGGGGAAGAGAGAGAGAGCTGTCTGGTTTCTCTTCTTGTAAGGACACGAATCCTAATTATGAGTCTCTATCCTCATTACCTCATCTAAACCTAATTACTTCCCAGAGCCCCCACCAGCACATTGGGGATTAGGGCTTCAACATCTGAATTTGGAGGGGAGACATTCAGTCTATAACAATAAAGATTAGACAATATGGTTGAATTGGTGCATTCATCTGGGAAGAATAGACAGACTGCCTACTGTGTGTGTGACACCAGCAGTGAAGTTGTACCACAGAGGTACAGGGAGGAATCAGGCGCGGACCCTGTTCCCCAGTCAGCTGGCACAGGAATCCTAGATGAAAGGGAGGTGGCAGCTAAGAAGGAGACTAGGGAAAGCAGATCCTATGATCTGAGGAAGAAATAAAGCAGAGGGGTGGGGGATGGGGAGCAGGGAGGACATGTCTGGAATCCCAGAGTTACTCTTGATGAGCAGGCATTGGCAGGAAGCCCCAGGACCTTTTCTTACCCTTCAACGCTGAGAATGCATGTCTGCTGGGGAACAGCAGCAAGAGGGTGTGGTGGTATCAGTGCCTGATTCACCAGCTCTGGATGGTACAAATGTCTGGGACTTCTGATGGGTGGAGGTGAGGGTGAGAAAACCCAGAAACAACCTGCTTGACACTTTCAGGGTCTTAACCATTCTGGCTGGGAAACTGGGAAGTGCTAAAGGGTGGTGCAGAGGAGGGCAGATGTGCTAACAAGGAATTTCATCCTAAGAGTACTGGATGAGGATGATGACGGTAGTGACGACACCCCAAATTGGTGTCATGACAAAATTTTGCAAGAAGATGGAATTGGGTACCCTCATTAGTGTCATTTTTATTTAGATTTCAAGATTCCATGTAGGTGTCATTGAAATTATCTATTAAAAATACTGTACAAATAACTACACTGCATTCCACTTCTGCTAAATTAGTGTATGACCACATGGACAAGTCATGAAAAATGTACTAAGAATTATTTCTTCTGCAAATGAAGGGTGATCCTTGTGATCCTGGTAGGCACTTTCACTTGAATATTGTTAGATGATTCCCAGCATTGCTCAGGAAAATAAGCTACTACTAGAAGCATTTTTGCCCAACACCTATGTCTCTGTTCTCCATTTTTGTTGGGGGAGAGGAGGATGGGAGTGATATTTCCATTGAGGGAATTTTCCTGTCGCTTTTCTTCAGGCATCAGTGACCTCAGTGGAAGTCTCCAGGAAAGAGACAAGGAGCAAATCTGAGTCACCCATTAAAATCCCAAAGGCCTCTCCAGAGACCCATCTTGAGTCGTTGTTATGAATCACTTTGTACAGTGCTCTGCAGGCTGACTTTTTCAGGAGCTCCAATTGATCACAAGTGACTAGTAAGTTGGTTTTTAAAGAGGGAGACTGAAGAAGCCAGGGACCCCCTGGGGCGGGAGGGTTCCACCTTCCCAGGAGGGCGGGTGCCGCTCCCGCCGGGCCAACAGGGGGCGCGCACATGCCGCGGGGCCGGGAGCCAGGCGGGCGTCGCGCCAGGCTCCGGGCGTGCGCGCGCCCGGCAGCGGGGCCGAGCACGCCAGGGCTGCGGAATGGGGCGGGAGCCACGGGAGGCATTTCCGGGCGGGGCGGGGCGGGGAGGAGCGGAGTCGCGGGCGGCGGGAGCTCCAATCTCGGCGGCGGTGGCAGCAGCGGCAGGGGGAGCCTGCGCCCTGCAGCTCGCGAGTCAGTCTCGCGGTGAGGAGGAGCTAGACCGGCGAGAGAGTGTCCGAAGGAAGGAGCGCGGAAGCTGGGAAGGAGAAGGTGGGACGCGGCCGCCGCGACTCCAGAGAAAGGAGGAGGGTTCGGGCTGGGGAGGAGGACTTCGGGTTGGGGTAGGGGAGAGCAGGGACTGAATGGGAGGCGGGTCCTGGCTGGGGAGAGGGAGGAGTGTCCGGACTGCGTGGGGTCCTGTTGGAGAGGGGTGAGGGGTGCTGGAAGAGCTAGGAGAGGTGGAAGGGCCGGGCGGGCCGGCGGGCTAGCAGATGCGGGGCGGGCTCGGGTTCGGGCTGACGGTAGGGGCGCCGACCATCTGAGAGGTCTGCATGAGTGGAAGGTTCGCGAGTGGTGGGGGAGGGTGCTAGGGCCGGGAGGGAGCGGGATCTAAACTCCACTCGCACGGCGGGGTAGAAGTGGTCCTGCGGCGGACAGGTTTGCTGATCCGTCACCGGAGAGAAAAGGGTTGTGGAGAGGGAGTGATGAAGTCGAGAGAGAGGCCAACCTGTTTTTAAAGTGAGTCCGGTGAAGGCTGGACTATGGGACTGGGCTGCCTTTAGCGTCCGGTCCTCGGCCGGGTTAGTTTGAATGGGCTGGCCTTTTCGGGGCTGCCTGCATTGGTCCGGGACTGTTTGGGCGTTTCCCCCGGTATCTACCTGGTGGAATTGCTTTGTGGGAGGGTCTCTGGACGGGTTTGGTCAGCTGTGGGAGGAAAGCTGAGTGCCAGCAGGATTCTGATTCGCTGGTTGGGGGTGCTAGGGGTGGAGTGTGATAGCTGGGAGTGAAATCTGAGCTCTCAAAGAAGGGAGAGAACCATTTCTCTGCTGCTCTGGGGAATCTAGGCGGGCCGACGGAACGGTTTAAAGCTTTAGAAGTAAACAAACCTGGTTCCCTTTTGCAGAGGGGAGACACGGAAAGGACGGGTGGAACAGGAAGATGCCGAGTACGGACATTCTGATGTTGGTGAGTCTTTTCCAAATACCCTTTGTTATGAGGCACTTGTCCCTTAAGTTTTATTTTCAGTCCAAAGGATGAGTGTGTAGATTTCACCTCTGATGCTTGCTTTTGGTAGCTGAGCATCGCTGCTATCTTTTGTTTTGGGTTTAATAGTTAAGATGGATAAGTGACTGAATTAAATATATGAATATATATATTTAATGTATTTGAAAAATCTTTTTCAAAATTCTTGCAGTTGATTTTAATCTCTCCCTTCTTATACTACCAGAGCAGTTTTAAAACTTCTGTTAAATTTTGTCTGGATTTGTCCCATGTTAATTTGTAAGTGTTTGTCTCCTGGACTAGAGTTGTGAATCCCCAGAAGGCAGATATGTTGTTGTTTTATCTGCTTAGAGATGTATAGACACCTGTTATGGTGCTCTGTGTATAGTAAATTGCTTAACAGATGTTGCTGAATTGAGTTAGTTTGTACTTTCTTTTGTTGGACTGATGAGTATGCCTGCTTTGGTAGAGGCTGTTTATTCCTCTCCTCCTGAGATCTGTCTGTGCTGATTTTTCACTGAGCAGGGAGGATAAAATTGCCAAATGAGTGTTTACCAAAATGACGTTTTATTCTTGGGACATTTATGATTCCATAGAGGCTTTTTATTGATTTTTATATTTTTCATAGAGGTTCATTAGTGTGAGAATTGTGGGCAGCCCACGACTTTAAAATAGCAATGTAGAAGTTGTGTCTACATTTAGTTTTTAATAAGTCACTTCTTTGAATCTGATTTTTTTACGCAAAAACATTGATTTAAAAACAATTCCTTTCCCTTTATCTCACTATCCCACAGAGTTGGTAGTTGTCACTGGGAAATTGGCAAAAACTAATATTGAGGGTTTATTTTTTTTTTTTTTCCTATCCAGTGCTGACGTCCTATAGTGTCAATGCCTGTAAGGTCTAGGGGAAAGATAAAGAGGGCAGCTAAATTGTGATTAGTTCTGGTTTGAGGTGGGGAACAAGGATGATTTTTAGAGACATAGATACTTGGTTTATCTACAGAGTTCACCTAAAATAGTTTCTTGCCTCAAGTTTCATAGATTATCAGTAGATAATAAATAGCCCTATGTAATTTTAAATTCTTATTTAAAAAAAAAGTTAGAAGAATTGGAAACTATTAATAAGCAAAAGGAAGTGACCCCCAGTAATTCCACTACTCAGAGATAACCACTGTTAGCACCTTGGGGAGTTAATGCAGAGTGATTTGCAATAATTGACAGTTTCTGTTTTGTATTCTGTAAATCAGTACGTATATGTAAATTAAGATTCCTGTATGTTAGTAGGATGTACCTCTGTGCCCAGAGATGTGCTTATCACTTCTTGGGCCTAAGAGTTCCCTTTAGCAGTCTAAGCAGTGAGTGCTTTTATTTAGAAAATTAACTTCGGAGTTAATTTTGTTCTGAAGTATTTCTCTAGTTGTCACCACTACTTTTCACTTCCTCATTTGAAAATCTAGATTTTTAGGGGTGTTGCTTTGCTTGTTGGTGTAAGGAATTAATTCACGTGGATAACAACAGGCCCTTGAGAATCATGCCTCTGAAGACACTGTACATGTTGCTTGAGGTGCTTTCTCTGGAACAGTTGTCCTTTCTTTGTGCTGTGCTGAATGGTAAGGAACCAATGACCAGGGCTGGGTTTTCAATGGAGACACTAAACTGTCATGACCTGAGTTCACGGTGTTTCTCTGTAGCTGTTTTGTGCAGTATGATGCATTAGGCATGTCTAATTGGGAAGAAAGGACCCCAGTTACTAGAAAATAACCAATGCAGGGCAGCGAATCATATAATCCCAGAATTAGAAACAATCTCAGAAGTCATGTGATGCAACTTCTTGCTTATATTGGGTGTAAATCCTTTTTAGAATATCTCTGGTAAATGAATAGCCAGTCATCCATCCTTTCTTCTGGGGGAATAGATGGGCATAAGCTAGGACACAATATAAGGTGGATTCAGAAATAATAATGTCTGATGGCGAACATTTATTGAGCATGTATTATGTGGTATGTGCATTTAATTTTCACAAAAACCCTTTGAAAACAATAAACCTCCTTTTATAGGTGAAAAACTAGACTTGGAGAGGGTACCATAGCAATGAAGTAGTGGAACTGTGTTTTAACTATAGTTGGTCTGATAGGATTGAAAACCACTTACATGGACAGTATGCTATGGTAATAAAACTTGAAGATGGACTGGAGTCCATATATGACAAACCTTGGATTCCAGATGAAGGCTCTTGGGCTGTTAGCCCTTAGTGCTTTCCCCCTCTTGATTTTGCCCTCATTTGATTAAGATGGTTTGCCTGCTTTTTTCCATTTGCTCATTTATGCCATAATACTTTCCACCTGTGTCTCAGTGAATAAATTGGGTGAGTGCATTCATCTGAGAATTGCGATGCTTTCAGAGGGAATTCAAGTCAGGAAATTATTTAGCAATCTTTCTTCACTTTGGCAATCAATCTTTTCATCCATATTCTCCTCCTTCCTAGTGCTGAGGGTCTGTAACACTTTGCAAGTTGCCAAATACTCCTAGCTTTTAAGCAGAAAGGTACTTTATAAAGCTAAGTCTACTCCATAGATCCATTGAAATGGATGACTCAGAATTACCAAATGCCCCATGGTAGTGCTGGGTGGGGCTTGAGTGATAATTTTTTATCTAGGGTCGAGGTTCTCAACCAAGGGTGATTTTTATCCCTCTCTTCCTCCCCCAGGGGCGTTTGGCAATGTCTAGAGACATTTTTAGTTTTCATACTTGAGGAATGCTAGAGGTCAGGGATGCAGCTAAACGCTTACTGTGCCCACAATTAAGAATTATCTGACCTGAAATATCAGTAGTGCCCTGTTTGAGAAACCCTGACCTAGGTTTCTTAACACAGATAATGGCATCTGTGTCGTCCTTGCATTCATATGGATGAGGGGGCATAGTTGCCTCCTTAGCTCAGTAGGCAGCGTGTCAGTCTCAAATGGATGGGGCAGTGAGTCTTAGAGTTTAGTGGGTCCGTTACAGAGTTACTTGGGTTATTTTGCCCTTGGGTCAAGTGCTGCTTCTTTGGAATATATACTGGAGAGTGTGCAGCATGATTTTCTGCAGCACAGTAAAATTCTGTAGAAATGCTTTCTTTTGCAACATTTCTGCAGCACTCTTTTCTTGATTTAGAAACAGTAAGCCTGCCTCAGTTTTGTTTTTCAGGTCCAAAAATCAAAGTCTTTCTAGATCTTAGAACTTTATCTTTGACCCTTGAATCTTTTTCAGGGATGCTTTCTTTATGAATCTCAAATGAGGTTTAGGCAATAAACTGAAAAATTGACACTAAAAGCTCATTTCTGTTATTTGAATCTGGTGTCTTATTTGTAGGATTGTCTAGAAGAAAGGGAAGATTCATTGGGACTGGTAGAACATTAAAAATTTTGTTGACAATTTGAGTGGCTATTGCAGGACGAACACTGTTTTTAGCATTGTTCCAGCTTTATAAATAAAGTATAGTAACAAGTATGATAATTTCTCCGGCCTTTGGCCTAAAGGAAAGGGGAGTTATAAACAGATAAACCCCAAATCTCAGTCTTTGGCTTGACTTGGCAGTGTGTGTCAGAAATCTTTAGTAACATTTACCTTCTTAGTTAGACTTTGCCTGATCTCATATTACACACAGTTTGTACACATTGGTGGCAGAATTGGGAATCAGCCTGGGATGAAGACTTTTCCGCAGGGAATTGAATCAGTTCACATGTGGAAACATACAGAGCACAATTACTGAGAGAAAAACCATGCTCTGGGGTAAGTGGAGATAAGAGCCACTGGGAATATGGATGCAGGCAGGCTGAAAGTAGTCTGTTGGGTGTATCAGTTATCCCCTGGCTTATACCAGCAGTGTGATTGCCTGGGATCAAGGAACACCAGCAGGGCTTGGTGAAACACCTGAGGACCAAGAGTCATTATCATTGTTAGGCCCAAAGGGGCAGGAGAGGGAGTAGTTTCTGGAACCTTGAGAGAACTTAGCTGAAGGAGAGGGTAACTTGTTAGGAATGCAGCCACTGCTGACCAGTGACCTAGCAGGAAGGAAATCAAGGGGAATAAATACTTCAGACTTTTTCTTTTCCCACCCTGTGATCTGCTGGAGCCTTTCGTTGGTCAAACCCAACTGGAAACCAGAGGATACGGGAACCTGGGTGATTTAATGCAAAGGACAGCCCCGTGAGGCACATAACAAAGTTGGGGAAGGTTGGTTAGAGGTTCTGGAAGAGCAAAGGGAGGATGCCCCGCATGCTAAAGTCAAGGTCAAGTTAGTCCTGAAAGGTACAAATGAGAAGGTAATGTTTGAGCAGAGTCCTATGAAGAACATAGAACGTGGAACATTATAGAAAAGGAATGTGCTCACTGATAACAGAAGGATAGATTCAGAGGCCGAGTTGTCACAGCTTCACAGCTGCTTTGTTCACATACTAGCCTTAGAATCTTAATTGCCAGAAAGTCCTTTAGAAATCCTGCAGTCCTGCCTCTCTTGCCATGTAGGAATCCGTTTCACAATGCCCAGCCAGTAGTGAGTGCGAAATACTCTCTCAGGGAGTCCTTTCCATCATTGCATAGCTTTTATTGTTAAAAATTTTGTTATTTGTCCAAATCACTGAATGTGTCACGATTAGGTTTGGCTGTATATAAGAGGAAAATCTAAAGGAACAGAGATCCTTAGAAGATAGAAATAGATTTTTCTACAGTAAGAGAAATCCAGAGTAGACAATTTGTAGCTGATACCACCATTCCTAGGTCTTTGAGGAGGTTCTACTGCTCACGGTGCACCCTCTCTGGGTCCAGGATAGCTATTTTGAGCTTGAGCTGTGAGGTTCGTGTTTCATTGAACAGAAAGAGGAAAGGGAAGAAGCTTGCCCATCTTCTTAATTTATTATACATACAGAAGAGTGTATAAAGCCCATATCCTCATTTTAAAGAATAATAATAAGATAAACAATCATTTATCTACCATCCAGTTTAAGAAATAGAACACTTACTCTCAACCCTAACCCTGGTTATATCTCCTTCCCTTTTCTCTAGAAATAACTACCATCCTGATTTTTGGAATAATTATTACCTTGCTGTTTTTTTTTTTAATTGTGTTACCATCTATCATTGTATTCCTGATTTTAGTTTTGTTTGTTTTTCAACTTAATATAAATGGATTTATATGCACTTTTGGTGATTTTCCTATGTTGCTCATTATTTGTGAGATTCAGTCATGTTGTTGCATGTAGTTTAGTTCATTTTCATTGTTGTGTAGCATTTTATTACATGATTACCATAATTTTATTTGTCCATTCCACTGATTAGAGACATTTGGGTTGTTTCCAACTTGGGACTTTTTTGAACATTACTGTTATGAGCTTTCTTGTATATGACAGTGATCACAAGTGTAGAATTTTTCTGTGATTTATTCCTAGGAGTGGAATTGATGGATTGTAAAGGGTATATATCCTTAACCTCACTAGATAATGCCAAACTTTTTTAAAGAAGTTGATACAGTTTATATTCGTAGGAACAGGATATGAGAGTTCTTGTTCCTACACAGCTTGACAAACTTTGATATTTATAAGGCTTTTAATTTTTTTGCAAATCTAGTAGGGATGAAATTTAATTGATTTCCATGTGCATTTTCCTGATCACTGAGGTGTTTTCCTTCTAAGTGTTTATTGACCATTTGAATTTCCTGTTTTATGGGTGCCTCTTCAAGTCATATGCCTTATCAATTATTTATCTATTTCTTTTTGTAGTTCTGTTTGTTGCATATAATTTGAGATGTGGTTACTAGGTGCTATAGTTTTAAAATTGTTACATCTTACCTAGTAAGTTGTGCTTTTTATCTAATAGTGCTTTTTGTCATGAAATGGGCAAACTGTAAATGATGAATGAATGACTTCCTGTTGTATAGGCAGAAACTGCAGAACATTCTTCCTAACCTGTTCTCCTGGCACACTGGTTTATGTGTCCTTTTATCCTCAGAACTGAATCGATCATTTTTGAATTAAAAATATGGAGTCTTCTTTTCTGAGGTATAACTTGTATATAGTAAAGGGCACAAATCTTAATTGTACAGGCTAATAATTACTTGCATATGGATACACTGTACTCACTGCCTAGATCAAGATGTGAAAATTGTCCAGCATCCCAGCAAGCTCCTCATATCCCTCCCAGTTGATACCCACCAAAGGTTGTCATTCGTCTCACTGTGGACTGTTTTGCTGATTTTTGAACTTTATATACGTGGAAACATACTATATTTTCTTTTGTGACTGTCCTTTTTTGCTGAATGTTGATTATAGCTGTGTTTCAGCCATGGTCTTATGTAGCAATAGTTTTAAAAATTAATGCTGTGTAGTTTTACAGTGTATAAAATATTGAAATTTATTCATTCTATAGTTGATGAACATTTAGGTTTCTTGTTTTTGGCTGTTATGAATGACACTGCTACATTGTTGAACATGTCTTCTGGTAAACATAGGCAGAATTGCTGAGTTATGAATTACATTGCCAAACAAGTTTCCAGAGGGGTTGGATCAGTTTTGACTCCTGTGGGGTTTTCTTAATATATAACTTTTGGGTTTAGCTTTGAGCAACAACTCCTAAGTTTCTGTTACCTGCACACTAGACAGTGGAGAGAGCTTTGAGAACTCTTTCCTGAAGTAGTGTAGGCACTCTTCAAATGTGAAATGCCTTTCCTTTTCTCTGCATTCTTGTTTATCTAGTCTATAACTATTAATAAACATTCGATAGAAACAAGCAACCTTGGCTCTTTTTGAGTATTAAAAGGGCTCCGTTAAGGGCACAGTTTAGATTTGTAAGACAGCATTTATAGCAGTTAATTCCAAGGCTGAAATCATAATGCTCTGGAACTCTTTGGAACCCAGGTAGCTATTGTGGTATATTTACACTCTGTGCTTGGTATTGAGAAGACCTTTTTTGGAGGCTTTTTCAGAGAGGCATTTAAGTTCACTGCTTTGAAGTGCATTTTGGCTGATAGGTCTAAAAAGAATATATTAATCCTGCCTTGAGTTCTAGTCTTAATGGTGCTGAGTCTTTGAGACAGTTGGGGCAAATTGTTAATTCTGGCTCAGATTCTAACGGGAAGGAATCTAGGACAAATAAGAAAATGCCGTGGTGGACCTGCTCCTTGTTTCGCAGCCAAAGTGGATGAAAGCCTAGATTACATTACCCAGCCCTTGTTGACAAGCTTAAGATTTCATATGCTTTCCCATGAGTCATGACTGTAGCGGTTGGCAGCAGTCTACCTGGGTGACTGAAATCAGGTTTATGGTCTGTAAACATAAGTAAGTAACTGGTTTAATCCTGTTTTGTGGGTAGGTAAGGGGACCCTTGCAGCCTACTGATTGAATTAGCTTGTTGAAGGCTAACAGTTGACTTAACATCGGTCTTACAAAACTGAGGAGCAGCTCACTATTAACATGCATTTATTACCATCTATGAGAAAATACAGCATAGGCATGGGAATCAAACCAAAACTTCTTGTGGCTCAACTTTTGTGACTTTGCTTGGGACATTGCAAAGGTTAGTTTTCCTTGCTGCTTATTGAAAAGAAATGGAAAATGTTTATCATCAGAGAATACAGATTCATCAAATATTTAGTCAAGTGTTTATTGCCTGCAGTTATTTGCTTATTACCTTACTGCATTAAATATTCACAACAACCCTGTGAGTACATGGTGGTGTCTTTTTTTAACTTGTGAACTTTTTGTTGAGTAAATAACAATGGCATCTATTTTTACCAATGAGCAAAATCCAATTGCATAGAGGTCTAGTAAGTGCCAAAGTTCACACAGCTTCTAAGTGAGAGCTGAAATTAGAGAAGTCTGTGAACACCAGTCCAGACTTTCTAGGACACCACAGCTGCCTGTCAAACACTATTAACACGACTCTCAAAGAGTCCACAGGACTAGTGATGAGATGTCAGTTCAGGATAATACTCAGAGGTGGCTGTCCTTTTCAGATATCCTGGGTAGTGGCTGGAGTACATGTTCATGAAAAAAACACGAAAACTATTTTTAGACAATTTCATCATTTTAGCAGTTAGTAATTCTATTTATAGACTTGGAAAATATACCTTTAGGCAATAATGACCCTTTTTGTCTAGTTTATACATAATTGCTCTACAAATTTCTTAATTATTTTTAGATACTTAGAGTTGCTTTCATTTGGAGTCCAAAGCTTTTGATCTCTGTTTCTGGAATTGCAAAGTTTCTGCTGTCTTTGGCCTATATGGCAACCTTTTTTTGTTTGTTTATTTTTTTTAAAGAAAGTCTGTAAATCCAAACAATCTTAAGTGATTGGTCTTAGCTAAGAGAACATTTGCTGAGTCATAATGCTTTTTTCTTTAAAGTATACGATCCAGTGGCTTTTAGTATGTTCACAGAGTTGTACAACCAAACCACCACAATTCTAGAACATTTTCAGAAGAAACCCCATACTCATTAGTCATCCCTTCCTTATGTCCTCCCAGCCCCCTAGTCCTAGGCAACGACCCAAATCCTTTTTTCTATAGATTTCTATTTGGAACATTTCATATAAATGAAATCATATAATATGTGGTTTCTTTATGACTGGCTTTTTTCACTTAGCATAATATTTCCAAGGTTCATCCATGTTGTAGGATGGATCAGAACTTCATTCCCTTTTATTACAGTCATGAGGCTTTCCCTAGAGAATTTTGAGTAATGGATATATCCAGTAATGTTTGCTTTATGTAATAGGATAGTTGTCATATTAGGGCTACTTCTGTGATTCATGTTAGAGAACGGGTTATTAAAACCAAGGAATATGGACACTAGTGACTGGCCCTCAGGATGTCCTGAACCCTTTGTAATTATTTGCAAGATTTTGTATTCCCAGTTATTTTTTTGGTTGGGGGGAGTTTAGGGGACTGAGAACAGTGAGCTTTTGTTGAAAGATAACATTTATAGGTCAGGAATATTAAAATAAATATGCAAATAGAGGCAAAACTTGTTTCTTCCACAGTGGAATGGGAGGGCATTTGAACCTTTACGGGGCGTGGCAAATTTTACATGTTGCTAGATTAAGATCAGTTTGCATTGCTATCAATTATCTACAACATCCAGAATTGTAAAATAACTTCCAAATAATCAGAATCAGAAAACCCAGAAGAATGTTCTAGACAGTGCGTAATTTTCCATCGAAAGTGCACATTTTCTCTTACGCCTTCAACAGATTAACAGAAAAGTCTCAAAGTCTTCCAACTGTTAATTTTAAATTTAGAGTCTTAGTTCAGTTTTAAAAAATAGCTCCTTTGTGACTAGATTTTGAAGGCAGACTTTCCAAAGGTGTTTATATCCGTTGAAGGTCAGTCAGAGACTCAGGGGTAGGTGTCTCATTGATTGGTTTAAGTGGGATTACAGGTTAGAAATCTCCAGAGAATTAGCCTTTGCAGCTTACGTAGGGTAGCCTTTTAGGCATATATTCAGTATTTCTCATCTTTAATAGTAGCATGACTTTTGAAGGGAGAGGATTTCTGTAACTAGTTGTAATTTGAAAAGTCTGTCTTAACTCAGTGACAAAGGTAGATAGATAATCCTATTAATAAAATAAGTAAGCAGTCTGACTGCGTCCTCAGTTGTGGTATTCTCAGGGAAGTCGGGACTTCTTTATGTGTGAAGAATGTGGGATTATTTCTACTAGGCCTTGCTTATCATCCAAGGAGTTCTCATTTTCAGTCTTCAGAGGATAATGACTTCTTTTGTACTTCGAAAGGTAACTTCTGTAAGTTATTTGAGCTACTTACTGTAACAGACTCTGGGAGTTCATAGCAAGTTTGGCAACAGTACATGCTCAAGTTTGCAGGGTACTTTCCACGCACATCTTCCCTACTTCCCTTAGGCTGAGAATGTATTTACCAAGAAAAGCCATAATTGCCCGTACGTCTACATCCCACAGCCCCTTTCTCTGCGTGTTAAAATTGGTTTTACGCATTTCGGCATCTGCTGGTTTAAGCTCCCTGTAGTGCCTTTCTTGATACAATTCAGAAGAGAGGTGTTCAGAGTTTTTAGCTGATAGAATTCGCACCTGTCTTTACTTGCTGCCTGGTCCTGACCATGAGTAAATAAATAAAAACTTTTCGATGACCATTTGGCAGTCTCTGGGGCTGTCAGCTTTTATGAGCCCAGGAGCTTGGATTTTCCGTGAGTGCATTCCTACTGACTTGAGAACATTGCACGTCTGTCTCCTTTCTGAGGCCAGGATTGTGTCTCAGTGATGATGAGGTGCTTTGCCCAAATATTCCAGTGCCAAGTGTAGAGCAGTTAAGCTTCGTAAGTGCTTGTGGACTCGTACTGGGCGTGTTTATCTGACTCTCGAGGCGTGATTGGAAGGGAAAACATGGACAGTTAAGCTTTTTGAGATGAATTTCTCAGAGACTGGATCTCTTGACTCACATGGTAGAATTTGGGCGAAAGTATATGGTTTGCTTTTTACCTCCTAAGCAATGATGACTCAGTTCCTTCAAACATTTTTTTTTTTTTGTCACAGTCACTACTGGTTGGTTGGAATGACTGGTTTATTGCTCAATTCTTACTTCTTTAATGGCCCATGGGAGTTTTCCCTTTGGGCTTGTGATCTGTTTTTGCTCATAAACTTTAATGCCATTTGAGGCTCTAAAGACAATAGTGTTTTCTCACCTGTTTACTTTGCTCTTTGAAGTTCCCCAGAATATAATATGAAAGAGAATCAGATTCAGTTAAAAACTCTTTTGTTCTGTTTTTAGGGCAGAAGTAGAGGAAGAATAAGTACTTAACTCTTCGGCTTGCTTTCTTCCGAGTTTTAACTTCACCCCCTTACCTGAGTCTCAATCTTCTGAGTACCATTTGATCTTCAGACATTAAGGCAGTGGGCAAACTGGGTAAAACAGGTTTTTCTTTTCCTCAACAGTCCATTCCTGCTTTAAAGCTCAGATTTCTTGCTCTTCTGGAAAACTGTTGATTGTTGAATTGTACAGTTGTATTAGAGGTGAGGGAAGTAGAAGGAAGAATAAAACAAAACAAATCTTTTCATCTCTGCAGCATTGCAGGGTGGAAGATTTTGATTTTCATTAGTATCTGGCCAAAGAATAAATATTAGTCAGGAGCAATTAGTTGACCTTATGAATTGATATGGCCGGGCCCTGACTTTAACACTTCCAGGATAGCTTGGTGGATGTTTTCTTTACCCCCATCTAGTAATATGTTAACTCAATTATTGGGTAATTCTTTTATAAAAGGAGAAGATGGGGAGAGAAGGGGGCTTTTATAGTATAGAGAAAGGGTTCATAACCAAGGATGTCTGTCACAGTCACCTGGGGGAGGTTTTCCAAAATATGTATTTCTGGGCTCCACTCTGTATTTACTGAACATCTGGGGGTGCGGTGTTCTGGAAAAGTGCCTTGGATGATTTTGATGTGTTCTGCTGGATAGCCCCCACTAAATAATGGAGAAAGGATTGTTAGTGTTTGTATTAGCTCCAAAGGAAGAAGCACCATCCAGTGTGCGTCTGGAAGTGTCTTCATTCAGTGTATTCTCTTTTAGAATGCTGCTTCTGGTATAAGACATTTAATAGGGAAAAAATATCACTGCCTAATTGGCAGTTGGTTAAGTACAGTATTAGTTCTCAAATTTTTTTGAGGAAAAAGCTGTGTGGATAATGCCACTATGGGAAGTCTGCTTATGGAATCTTGTTCTCTTGAAGTGATTTAGGGACTGAAAGAGTTTAATGTCATGGGGGAGAGCTGTGGCTAGTACTGATAGGAAAGTAACTTGTGATTGAAGAATTCTGAATCTCCTGGACTTAGGTCCTCCAACACATCATAATCCTGTCCTCACAAAAAATGTTGAGAATAAATCATAACTATAAAAAGCACTGAGATTGTGTTGAGTGGAAATAACCTTAGTGTTAACTCCCTTCACTACATTGCATAGCCACATTCTAAATTTAAGGAAGACAGGAGTGAAATCACTCGAAGTCACTGGTTTTAAACCTAAAGTTCATGATCCATTTAGAGGGATGCAGAATCAATTCAGTGGGTCAAGCATTTAAACAAAGAAGAGAGAAATAGGAAAGAAATGTAACTGTATCACAGGTAATAAGGTGTTAGGTATTATTTTGGAAATTTTTGTTTTGGTTTCATATCTTTCTGTTGCTATGTGTACTAGTTTGTGTTATAAAATACATTTCTGTGGGACTGGATTGGAAAAGCTTGAAACTCATTGGTTTAAAAAGTAACATGCCCCATATTTACAAAATTAGTAGACTGCTACTCTCATGTTCATGGAAGTATCTTGCTCCCTTGAAGTGATTTTGGGGGTAAAAGAGTTCAGTATGAGAATAGTAGATTACCAAACTCCCATACATTCTAGCAGCTGCCTTTTGTCTAATAATGATTAGGATTATATTACTATTAGGATTTTGATGTCCTTTAGGCATCAGCTAAAACCTAAATCTTTATTTTTTTTTTATTTTTTCATGGATTCTTTTTAAAAAATATTTTTATTGAAGTATATTCAGTTTACAATGTTGTCAGTTTACAGTGTACAGCACAATGTTTCAGTCATATAGGAACAGATGTTCATTTTCATGTTCTTTTTCATCATAAGTTATTACAAGATACTGAATATTATTCCCTGTGCTATATGGTATAAACTTGTCATTTATCTACTTTATATATATTAGTTGGTGTCTGCAAGTAACTTCCAATTTATCCCTTTCCCCCTCTCCCCTCCCCTGTAACCTTAAGTTTGTTTTCTATGTCTGTGGGTCTGTTTCTGTTTTGCAGATAAGTCTGTCTCCTTTTTTTTTTCAGATTCCACATATAAGTAATACCATATGGTATTTTCCTTCCTCCTTAGCTTACTTAGAATGACATTCTCCAGGTCCATCCACGTTGCTGCAAATGGCATTATTTTATTTTTTATGGCTGAGTAGTGTTCCATTGTATAAATATACCACAGCTTCTTTATCCAGTCAT